ACTGCCGAGATGGTGGTGGTGGTGCTCTGATAGTGACAGTGATGGGGGTGGTGAGCTCTGGTGGTAGTGGTGACAGTGAGGGGGTGGTGGGGTGCTTTGGTGGTGACAATGGCGGGGTTGTCAGGTGCTCTGATAGTGACAGTAACGGGATGGCGAGGTGCTCTGGCGATGATGGTAGTGGTGATAGTGAAGGGTGGTGTGCCTGTGGTGTAATGGTCAGCATTCTCGCCTCGCAAGCGAACCGACCCGGGTTCGATCCTTGGGCAGGGTGACACTATGGGAAAGTTTCTTTACGCCATTTGCCTCTGTCTACTCAGTAGTAATTGGGAACCTGGATGTTAATCGATTTGCGTATCGTCTTCCGGGGTAATGATTAGCCAGTGCAGTTGGCGAGTTGTCCGGTCTTCTCCGACTATTCCATGACACTGGGTCATACAGCTCGCTAACTTAGAGTATGGTTGTTGTGTTGGCGACAGCTTCTACGCCTTAAACAAATTCTCGCCTAGGTGGCCCTTGAGCTGGCCATCCTCGTTACACGAGGGGCAACTATTATTTATTATGCTCTGGTGGTGGTAGTGACGACAGTGAGGGGGTGGTGAGGTGCTCTGGTGGTGACAGTGACGGAGTGATGAGGTGCTCTTGTGGTGGTGGTAGTGATGACAGTGACGGGGTGATGAGGTCCTCTGGTGGTGGTGGTTTGGTGATGTGCTCTGATAGTGAGTGACGGGGTAGTGAGGTGGTCTGGTGGTAGTGGTGACAGTGCGGGGGTGGTGACAGTGGCGGGGAGGTGAGGTTGTCTGGGGATGGTGACAGGAGGTGATGAGGTGGTCTGGTGGTGGTGGTAGTGACAGTGAGGGGTGGTGAGGTGCTCTGGTGGTAGTGATGACAGTAAAAGTGACGAGGTGGGAGATGTTCTGGTGGTGGTGGTGACAGTGGCGTGGTGGTGAGGTGGTCTGGTGGTGGTGACAGTGAGTGGGTGGTGAGGTGGTCTGGTGGTGGTGGTGACAGGTGGTGGGGTGGTCTGGTGGTGGTGGTGACAGCAGGTGGTGGTGGTGGTGGTGGTGGGGTGGTGCCTGGTGGTGGTGGTGACAGTGACGGGGTGGCTGGTGGTGGTGGTGGTGGTGGTGGGGTGCTCTGGTGGTGGTGACGGTGGGTGGGTGGTGGGGTGGTCTGGTGGTGGTGTGTGAGGGTGGTGGTGGTCTGGTGGTGGTGGTGGTGGGGTGGGGTGGTGGTGGTGGTGGTGGTGGTGAGGGTGTCTGGTGGTGGTGGTGACAGGACGGTGTGGTGGTGGTCTGGTGGTGGTGGTGGTGGTGGGGTGCTCTGGTGGTGGTGAGGTGTGTGGTGGTGAGGTGGTCTGGTGGTGGTGGTGGTGGAGTGTGGTGGTGACTCTGGTGGTGGTGGTGACAGTGGGGGTGGTGAAATTCTTTGGTGATGGTGGTGGTGGTGGTGCTCTGGTGGTGGTGACAGTCATGGTGTGGTGGTGGGGTTGTCTGGTGGTGGTGGTGACAGTGGTGGGTGGTGAGGTGCTCTGGTGGTGGTGGTGACAGGGGTGGTGAGGTGGTCTGGTGGTGGTGGTGACAGTGAGTGGTGTTCTTTGGTGGTGGTGGTGGTGGTGAGTGGTCTGGTGGTGGTGGTGACAGTGTGGGTGGTGAGGTGCTCTGGTGGTGGTGGGTGACAGTGAGGGGTGGTGAATTCTTTGGGTGGTGGTGGTGGTGGTGGTGAGGTGCTCTGGTGGTGGTGGTGACAGTGAGGGGGTGGTGGGGTGGTCTGGTGGTGGTGGTGACAGTGTGACGGGGTGGTGGAGGTGGTCTGGTGGTGGTGGTGACAGTGAGGGGTGGTGAGGTGGTCTGGTGGTGGTGGTGACAATCATGGGTGGTGGTGAGGTGCTCTGGTAGTGGTGACAATGACGGATGGTGAGGTTGTCTGATGGTGGTGGTGACAGTGAGGTGGTGAGCTGGTCTGGTGGTGGTGGTGACAGTGTGGTGGGGTGGTCTGGTGGTGGTGGTGACAGTGAGGGGTGGTGAGGTGGTCTGGTGGTGGTGACAGTAAGGGGTGATGAGGTGCTCTGGTGGTGGTGGTGGTGGTGGTGGTGAGGTGCTCTGGTGGTGGTGACAGTCATGGTGTGGTGGTGAGGTGGTCTGGTGGTGGTGGTGACAGTGAGTGGGTGGTGAGGTGCTCTGGTGGTGGTGGTGACAGTGAGGGGGTGGTGAGATGGTCTGGTGGTGGTGGTGACAGTGGGGGTGGTGAGGTGGTCTGGTGGTGGTGGTGACAGTGAGGGTGGTGAGAATTGGTGGTGGTGGTGGTGGTGGTGGTGAGGTGGTCTGGTGGTGGTGGTGACAGTGAGTGGGTGGTGGTGCTCTGGTGGTGGTGGTGACAGTGAGGTGGTGGTGGGTGGTGGTGGTGGTGGTGGTTTGTCTGGTGGTGGTGGTGGGTGGGGTGGTCTGGTGGTGGTGGTGACAGTGAGGGTGGTGGGGTGGTCTGGTGGTGGTGGTGACAGTGAGGGTTGGTGAGGGTGGTCTGGTGGTGGTGGTGAGGTGCTCTGGTAGTGGTGACAATGACGGGATGGTGAGGTTGTCTGGTGGTGGTGGTGACAGTGAGGGGGTGAGCTGGTCTGGTGGTGGTGGTGACATTGGTGGGTGGTGAGGTGGTCTGGTGGTGGTGACAGTGGGGGTGATGAGGTGCTCTGGTGGTGGTGGTGACAGTGGCGTGGTGGTGAAGTGGACTGGTAGTGGTGACAGTGACGGGGTGATGAGGTTCTCTGGTGGTGGTGGTGGTGGTGGTGGTGAGGTGCTCTGGTGGTGGTGACAATGACGGGATGGTGAAATTGTCTGATGGTGGTGGTGGTGACGGTGAGGGGTGGTGAGGTGGGTCTGGTGGTCTGGTGGTGACAGTGAATGGGTGGTGAGGTGGTCTGGTGGTGGTGGTGACAGTGAGGGGGGTGGTGAGGTGGTCTGGTGGTGGTGGTGACAGTGAGTGCGTGGTGAGGTTGTCTGGTGGTGGTGGTGACAGTGACGGGTTGGTTAGGTGGTCTGGTGGTGACAGTGAATGGGTGGTGAGGTGGTCTGGTGGTGGTGGTGACAGTGACGGGGTGGTTAGGTGCTCTGGTGGTGGTGGTGACAGTGACGGGTGTTAGGTGGTCTGGTGGTGACAGTGACAGTGACGGGGTGGTTAGGTGGTCTGGAGGTGGTGGTGACAGTGACGGGGTGGTTAGGTGGTCTGGTGGTGACAGTGAATGAGTGGTGAGGTGGTCTGGTGGTGGTGGTGACAGTGAATGGGTGGTGAGGTGGTCTGGTGGTGGTGGTGACAGTGAGGGGGGTGGTGAGGTGGTCTGGTGGTGACAGTGAGGGGTGGTTAGGTGGTCTGGTGGTCGTGGTGACAGTGAGGGGTGGTTAGGTGGTCTGGTGGTGACAGTGAATGGGTGGTGAGGTGGTCTGGTGGTGGTGGTGACAGTGACGGGGTGGGGAGGTGGTCTGGTGGTGACAGTGAATGGGTGGTGAGGTGGTCTGGTGGTGGTGGTGACAGTGACAGGTGGTGGGGGTGGTCTGGTGGTGGTGGTGACAGTGACGGGGTGGTTAGGTGGTCTGGTGGTGACAGTGACGAGGTGGTGAGGGTGGTCTGGTGGTGGTGACGTGAGGGTGGGTGGTCTGGTGGTGACAGTGAATGGGTGGTGAGGTGGTCTGGTGGTGGTGGTGACAGTGACGGGGTGGCAGGTGGTCTGATGGTGGTGGTGACAGTGACGGGGTGGTTAGGTGGTCTGATGGTGACAGTGACGAGGTGGTGGGGTGGTCTGTGGTGACAGTGAGGGTGGAGGTGGTCTGGTGGTGACAGTGAATGGGTGGTTAGGTGGTCTGGTGGTGACAGTGAATGGAATGGTCTGGTGGTGGTGGTGACAGGTGGTGAGGTGGTCTGGTGGTGACAGTGAATGGGTGGTGAGGTGGTCTGGTGGTGGTGGTGACAGTGACGGGTTGGTTAGGTGGTCTGGTGGTGACAGTGAATGGGTGGTGAGGTGGTCTGGTGGTGGTGGTGACAGTGAGGGGTGGTGAGGAAGTCTGGTGGCGGTGGTGACAGTGAGGGGTGGTGAGGAAGTCTGGTGGTGGTGGTGACGGTGACAGGAATGGGGAGGTGCTCTAGTGGTGACAGTGAAGGATGGTGATGTGCTCTGGTGGTGACAGTGAGGGGTAGTGAGGTGCGCTGGTGTTAGTGGTGACAGTGACCGGTCGGTGGTGGTGTTAGTGGGGACAGTGGCGGGTCGGTGGTGATGGTGGTGGTAGTTCAGGTACCTGGATCTGACTCACTCTTATCTCCATTATTAAGTGTCACATGCTGCAAGACCCTTCCCCTGGATACACCCTCACCACCACATGTATTAAGTGTGCTTATGATTCACCCTTACTATATGTACTGTAACTTTGCTCCACCGAGAATCACAAAAACAAGAACACTGTACAGTATTCAATCCTCTACAGCTTACAGCCATATGAGTAAGATAGTCCAGGTTAGGTATGGTTGAGACGATGTAGCCTACAGTATACCGCACCTACACACAACGTATATATAATGTAACGCGTAAATTAATATGGAACGATGAGGAAGTGCTGTTTAATTAAAGTTGTTAGGTAAAGCTACTATATAGTTGCCTGTGGAGGAAAAACTTGTCAGTACCGTCTACCTTCTCTACAGTGTTTAATATTTTATACTTTAAATAATTGTTTCATCTATGTGTACTTTAAAATGATTCTCAGTACACAGCTCAATGCCAGAAGTAAAGTCCCAGAACATTTCTCAAACACAACTCTTCAAATATCCCTCTAAATCCCGCCTTCTAGTAAATTGTAAAAGCTACTGGGAGTGGCTGCAGTACTAGCTCCTCCTTCACATCGGCCTTTGATAGCAACCATCGTGAATGACGTTGCACAAGTACTGAGCAAAAATCTAGGCGAAGTCTGAACTTGGTGGCAGTTGCTACTCGCTAGTCGGTGGGTCCAAAGGTTGGACGACGCAACCAATATGTGGGCTTTCCGCACCTCCATCTCGCCAGTGTCCACCGCGCCCGTCAACAGGTAACATCAACATATCGTCACACAACTTGTCTCCTTATCTTCATAGTCGCATATGTGAGTTAATTTCTATCTCAGAATTATTGACAATTTAAACATTTGTAACTTGTCTCCTACAGGCTTCTTTATCACAGATAAGAACTTGTTTCAAAATACTGTAAAGTGTTTGGCTGAAGACTGTGGGCGCTCATGTGATATCTTATGAGTGCTGTCATCCTCAGCATTATGCTTGTGATAAAAGGGATCCTGGCACTCGGAAAACTGATGTACGTGTTGTCAGCCTAGATACTTATCAGAGACCAAAGTGTTGTCAGGTCTCCCAAGACAACCCAGAGCTCTGCAATTAAAGATTTGTTCTAAATCTTATTTACACGAACATAGACGACAAGCAGTCCTTTATAGTGGCCCCAGCAGTGCTGCTACGAGTTGCTCAGAATTATTGAATTATTAGATAAGCGTGTGGCGTCGCAGTAACGAATGATGATGACGTATAGGCCGATTACAGAGAGAGAAACATATTTCATGACATTTACCACCGACTAGATTGTGTAATACATGTCAGCTCAAGTTTTATACCATAGGTTTCCAACACTGCGTATTTCGTGAGGAGCTTACTATGTTTTCAAATATCATCCGCCCACCAAATGCTTCTATTACACTTAAGTGTATAATTACAGGTATTGCGCTAAAAACACAAAATGCAGTGCAGCTTCTCGATGTTAAATTCCTTTTCTAGAGCATCAGAAAACAGAAGTAAAGACTGGACAAACCCTTTCACAGTCCGGTGGTCTTAACATGGAAGCATTTGAGCAATTTTTGGCCAACACAAGTGATTAAAGTGATGACAATCGATTTCCTAATTACTACATAAGTAGACAAATCATAGAAAATATTTTTCACATGAACAATACAACTAAGAATCAGCTAACCTTATCATACCAGTGGCAGTTATCTGCATGTGGGAGTTCTACACTATCATATTTACTGTAAAGACGGAGCCAGTGATAATATTGTGATAGAGGTGATGGCGCTCACTGCGTTTACTGGGTTGCTAAGGACTATAATCTCTCGAAGAAATTTTCCCAACATAGTTAAATTTGTTAACACATTATATGCACATACAACTAACCTAACATCGCCACATTGTTTGTAGATGGTCAGTGTTGATTTAGTAAGGCTTGCCTGTTGTTCATCAACAACGCTCGTGTTGTAACTCAAAGATTCCACTGTGAACTGAGGGAGGCCGACGTCATTAATTAATAAACTGGTGGTTAACAGGGCTCTTCCACCACCCGACGAAGGCCTGTATGTTCTCACGGAAAAGTAACACTTCACGTGTGACCCCCTTTAGACTGCACTTATTCAAAAGTTTCCTCTCCCATATTTTTTTTCATATAAACAAGTCAATTTACCAAACGTGTCAAACTAATTTATGTATTAATAAAGCTGAATATTCTTTTAAACGAAATCATATAAATTTTCTATTTTAGGTTCTTATCATGGTGATTCATCGATATTACAAAGATATGATTCCTTACGTGCATTAGGACTAATAGCTCTTCCGGATAAATATTGTATTTTCTAATAAACTATCAAATAAAATGTAACCAGAATGGTGTGTAACGTAATCAGTGATAAGGAGCTTACATACCTTTAAAACTACTAGGAATAAAAAAAAATCCATTTTAACAGATCCTCTTAGCAATATCATCCTGTACTCATTGGTTTTGTAAGTGTTACAGAGCTTGGCGGTGTGTGGGGTGCGACAGGTCCTTGACACTGTGCGTAAAATTACAATTCAGCTTAAATCAGACCCAGGAGTGTTGGAACCGAGATAGGAATGAGCAAAACATAATTCTCAATTTGATCAAAAAGAAACCCTAGAAGGACATGATACTGTGTCGTTAATATTATAAGATTACCTTGGCTCAGCACATGAGTACAGCTGTGAGAGAGACAGATGAAACTTTCGATTGATTTATACATAGCATCAACATGACTGTGGTAATTTGAAAGATTGCTCAACTATGTACTGTAAGTTTATTTGCTAATGATACCTCTCTCGTTTATTTGGTGTGTGTGTGTGTGTGTGTGTGTGTGTGTGTGTGTGTGTGTGTGTGTGTGTGTGTGTGTGTGTGAAAAATATGGTTGAAGAGTTAATGCTATAAAGACTAAACTATTGGTTGTTTCCAATTTTGAAAAAAATCCTCAAATAAAAAAATATAATAGGTAACAGGGAACTTAACAAGTGGAAATTTTTGTGTATTTGGGAAGTAACATTAGCTGTGATGGTAGATGTACCGAAGAAATCAAAACAAGAACTGGGCAATCAAAACCCCTAATGACATAATGAAAGGGACATTAACTTCAACTTGAGAAAAAGGCTGCTGAATGACTTTATATGGCAAGGAATGATGTTTGGGTCAAAAGCGGGGACACTCAGCAGTCACCAGAAAGAGGTTGGAGGCCTTTGAAATGTGGTGTTATAGGTGAATGCTGATAATAAGCAACACTGGCGAGAAAACAAATGAAGTACTAAGATTGGCAAAAACTTAAAGAAAAATACTTGATATGTACAGAAAAGGAAAAACTAGAAACCTTGGTTATATAAATGGGGATGAAAACGAGGTTGAGGGTATGAGGGCTAGGGGAAGGCAGAGACTGAGATGAATTAAATTCAAAACTGGGTCCCCAGAGAGATACAAAACCTTAAACCATTGATAAAATCAGCCCGAGACCTTTTTGAGTAGAGGACAGTGGTCACCAACCCTCTGATATGAGAACGGTACTGTGTGCGTGTGTGTGTGTGTGTGTATGTTTGTTTGCTCGCAAAAAGTATGTTTATGTATAGTTCATTGCTCCAAGATCCAAAGATAAAACATCCACCATTCCGGTATCTGGAGTTCGACTTCCAGTTTATACGCTGAAAGCTTGGCCATGACGCCACCTGTCATATATTTTACAGCGTGTACATGAGGAGGATGAGCGAAACGCAAACGATGACGCAGCAGCAGCAACAGGGCGCGAGGCTGGCCATTGCCGAACTGCGCACTGTGAAGTGGGTGGCCTCACAGCCCTTGGTGAAGCAGGTCTACGACGCCGCCAAGCCTCGCTACCTTACACTCAAGCAGGCAGCCATAATCGGCTGGTTCATTATTCTCTATGAGGTAAGCACCACACACTGATTTTGGCTGTTTTAGTTGAACTTGGGCATTACACAAAATATAGAGGATTTTTAAGGATTAAGTACTCTGTTTACACTGAGTTCAAATCATATTTATACAAAACAGGCTACTATTGCACTCTTATAGATACGTGTTACAGCTTTTATTTTGTAGCCAGTATTTAAGTACAGTACTTAGCATATGTTGCGATTTCCATGCACTTCTCTTAGGAAGAGAACATCTGATTGTTGAGGCTCATATATACTAAAAGGTGTGTGACACGACACAATAGAATATTTATGATATAGATTTGTATGTTAATGATGAGTAAGACGCAACAAACTCCGTAACCACTTTGTTGTATTTGATCAGGTGATACTGGTGTGGTGGTGGACATTCATCCACAACCTGCCGTTGCCCGTGATGGTGCTCTCCCTCCTTCAACAGGCCGACTCCCTGACGGTGCGAGTGCTCGACTTCTCTCAGCAGAGGCTGGAGTGGGTTAGTGGACAAGTCCTGCACTTTTTTAGGCCCTATATGAACAGGCTTTCGGTAGATGGGCTTTTCAATAAGAACCAGAGGGAATAGTGGTGGCGGTGAAGGCCAGAGACTAGGGCAGTCATATTACTGTTTTGTTATGTGTAGCACGTGGGTCAGTTCCTCTTGTATTAGCATGTGACTCATCCGTGTGTTGATCTGACTCTTGGCTCACTTGTTCCTCTGTGTATGCAACCCATTGTTTCCTGTATGCATTACTTGGCTGAAACTTGGGTTGTATACATAGATGGTTTTGCTTGCAAGTGGAATGTGGTTAAGTCCTGTTATTGCCGCATTTGACTCAAACTTGTTTCGTAAACGCACTTAATGTTAACTATATAATCAGCTTTAATGAGCGTCTTATTACATTACTCCATGTTACATTTCAGGCTTTCTCTCAAGAAGTAAATCCATTTATAATGTATTGATTTACTCATACTATTGATAAGTAGGAGAATCAACAGTACTAAAAAAATTGTTGGAGTTTAATATATGTTACCTCAATGTTAAGTACAGTATACGTTATATTAGCTACCTGATTACAGATGATTTATCACGAAAGTTGCAATCTAACTTTATATGTGAAGACACTTTGTGAAAAAAAATGTCAACTATATAATAAAAGCGATAAGCCTTTGTAATAAACTGTCTTTTTATAACCGCAAAGAAACCTGCACGGCGCCTGAAGTGAGGTAAAGTGATCTCTGTACCACTCACTGACACCAGACGTAAAGCTCATGTGTAAATGAGCATATGTATAAAGATTATCAAAACTTTACATGTCAACTTCGACAACTTATTCTGTTTGTCTTAGAGTCTTAGACCATCTCAGATCTCAGTTACTTCAAAAGGCATTGTGTTGCCTGATCCTCAGAATAAGAGTAATCTGTCAGGACAATTTAAAACTTAAAATTCAAACGTTTTCTCGTAATTTTTACATGAAAAATATTTACTACAGTCAAGACTTAAATTATAAATCTGCAGAAAAAAATATTCTAACAAAGAATACTACTACTATAGCCTTCAAAATTTTCCTTGCTTTAGGTGAAATGTTTCCTGAAGAATAATAACAGACATAATTGATGGCATCTTGCTCAAAATTCAATAGAATGTGACTTGTTTCCCAGGTTGATGTTTGCTTGTTCAGTACAATATTTACATAAATGTTTTCTTGCATGTGTTTATGTATCTGCTTTCATGCTTTGTGTGTCGCAGTGATTGTGGGCTAGATAGTAAGGGGATTCCACTGTCTTGGAGACTGACTGCACGTATATTATTGTACAGTACAGTATATGTCTCATATTGTAACCTGCATCGACTTGCTGCTTGCTTTTACACATTCATATTATACATCATTCAGCAAGCCCCATTTTTTGTGTTTTCACAAGTTTTTTCGCTTCCAGGTTTCTCGGCAACATCTTAGCCAATTTAAATTAAGTCTGAAACAACATAATTATTGGCTTCGGGTACAGCGTGGATCTGCCGTAGTGCTGGTTGTTTTATGAGCCAATTACCCGGAGCCTCAGTTTCTGGATGATCCTTTATATATCAAGAGATTTATTTTTAATCTGGAACGTGGAGAAGAAACGCTGAGGTAGTAGCGCCTCTCACTATCTTTATTTTAAGGATTCTTACCACTCCCAGCTCGTTTCTTGTCGTTATCATGTTATCAATTATTTCGTCAAACCTGAATTATACTGAGGCATGATAAAGTTTGTGATATATGATGCCCTTGCTGCGATTCTATTGCTATAATCATTATCGTTGTTACTAAAAATTAATATTGGTAGTTTCTAATATACTATAGGACTAGCCATGTGTCTGTGTGTGTGTGTCCGTTTTGGGCAGCCGAAACGGCACAATCGTTTTTCATCAAACTTGGTGGAAAAATCGCAAAAAATTCGTAGAGTGGGACAAACTTGGTCCCATGTCGATGGTTTCTTTAGGAAGGCATTAATTAACAATTTTATTTACGATGGAAAACGATGCAAGTCTACGGATTTGGCGCACTCGAATTAACCATGCAAGTCTACAGACTTGGCGCCCCCTCATTCGCTGTACGCTGTCAAGAGCGTTCAAACTTTCACAAGGGCAAGAAGGGCCTGAGATCACTTGTTTATTACTGTGGCCTGAACTGCTTAACCCATCATCACGAAATTTTACACGATAAGGAACCATATGTAGACTCGACTCCCAAAGGACTTTACATAAATAAATTCTTTGCTGGAAGACAGAGAGACCAAGACAACCTTAAGTGCTTGTAAAATATAATCACAAGACTCCAGCAGAAGGTACGGCCAACTATCATCAACACAGTCAGTTTTATAGTGTCGTTTGCTTATAATTTCAATCTTATCAACAACAGCTTCCCTATACACAACACTCCTCCATTATTATACGTATATTTGCTTCTCTCTCTCTGTGTTGTTATACTTTCAATCTAAAAAATCGAAGCCTACACAACTGTATTCATTACTCAATAAGATGGTGATGTAATGCAAAGAACACACGGGTGATGTACAGCAGGACACACGGGTGATGTACAGCAGGACACACGGGTGATGTACAGCAGGACACACGGGTGATGTACAGTGGGACACACGGGTGATGTACAGTGGGACACACGGGTGATGTACAGCAGGACACACGGGTGATGTACAGTGGGACACACGGGTGATGTACAGTGGGACACACGGGTGATGTACAGCAGGACACACGGGTGATGTACAGTGGGACACACGGGTGATGTACAGCAGTACAGCAGGACACACGGGTGATGTACAGCAGGACACACGGGTGATGTACAGCAGAAAAGCAGGACACACAGGTGATGTACAGCAGTACAGCAGGACACACGGGTGATGTCCAGCAGTACAGCAGGACACACGGGTGATGTACAGTAGGACACACGGGTGATGTACAGTAGGACACACGGGTGATGTGCAGTAGTACAGTAGGACGCAGGTGATGCAAGAAACGTGATCAGCCAACAGTGGCGGGGTTTACTAATATCCAACCCACACAGGTCACGTAGTTCCAGTGACTTGCCAAACAAAATTCTTATTAAAACTCTATTTGGAGTTAATATCTTAATGCCGCTCACTGAAAGTTTTCTGTAGAAATTTAATTGACAGAGAAATAGGTCAGAACATTACTCATAATACCTAAAAAAAATTCCTTCTGTTACCCTGAATTAAATAAATTACTGGTTTGGTAATAAAAATAAAAATACAGGCAACGAAAGAGAGAGAGAGAGAGAGAGAGAGAGAGAGAGAGAGAGAGAGAGAGAGAGAGAGAGAGAGTTCTTCTTTCATGACGTTCATTTGTGCCAGTATCCAGAAGGGTCCCGACATTTCATGCAGCTACCATAAGAGGTTGTATAGATTGTTTTTGTTTTGATCTGTGATTATGATTGTGTTTTCGACGGCATAAGGATGACCTTACTGGGTGCAGTTGCCCAGTCAGGTTGGTTCTTTAGCCAGACTGTGTTTAGGGCACCTTTTCTAGCCCCCTCCCCATGTGGGGTGAGCAGAGTGCTCCTGGAAAGGGTTGCTCAGTCGCACAGACAGGACCGGATTGCACTGCTGCCTAGATCCCAGTGCATAAACGACCATCCTTGATCTATGTGGTGAGGCAAAAGTGCAGGCTGCAACCACACATCTTGGCTCTCCCTTTTCCTGATCCAGTGGTTCAGGTAGTTGTAACGAGTGGGTAGACGGAGAGTTGCAATGGACTGCCGATAGCCCAGTTTGTTGGGTTTCACCTTAGTAGCTCCTCCATCTTGCATTACTTTCAACCTCTGGTGTAGTCGCTTGGTTCCCCTGTTGGTCACCGAAGCCCTCCTCCACTCATCCGACGGTAACTCCCTAATTAAAGACGAAGAAGGCCTCCTTCAGCGCTGGAAAGAGCACTACCATTCGCTGCTCAACTAAAACACCGATGTAGATGTCCTGACTACCCAGTAGGTCCCTCAGCATCCAGAGCAGACCCACCTCAGCTATCTTCCATCCCTGGATGAGATAGCTACTGCCATCAAGCAGATGAAAAATAACAAAGACTCAGGGCCTGAGGTGTATAAAACAGGAGAACCTTTGCTTAATAATTCAGCCGTCTACACTTTCTCCTAGAGAATTTGTGGGAAGAGGAGGAAATCCCCAAAGCTCTTAAAGACGCCTCCATCATCAATATTTATAAGAACAAGGGAGACCGGTCAGACTGTGGCAACTACCACGGGATCCAACACCACCACTCAACCACCCAACTCTACCACCCACCACCCAACCACCATCCAACACTACTACCCGACCACCCAACACCACCACCCAAACCACCCAACACCACCACCCACTACCCAACACTACCATCCAAACCACCCAACTACCACCACCCACCATCCAACACTACCACCCAACATCACAACATTACCACCCACCATCTAACACTACCACCCACCACCCAACACTACTAACCCAACCACTCAACATCACCACCCACCACACAACCACCACCCACCTTCCCACCACCACACACCACCCACCACTCCAACATCACCACCACTCCAACCACCACTACACCACCACCACCCAACACCCGGGTATGTGTGATAGTTGAACTGCAGTGTGGTGGATGAGCAACAGGTGTGGTGGATGAGCAACAGTGTGGTGGATGAGCAACAGATGTGGTGGATGAGCAACAGCAACAGATGGTGGATGAGCAACAGAGGTGTGGTGGATGAGCAGCAGGTGTGGTGATAAGCAACAAACAGGTGTGGTGGATGAGCAACAGGTGTGGTGGATAAGCAACAGATGTGGTGAATGAGCAACAGGTGTGGTGGATGAGAAACAGGTGTGGTGGATGAGCAACAGGTGTGGTGGATGAGCAACAGGTGCGGTGGATGAGCAACAGGTGTGGTGGATAAGCAACAGATGTGGTGAATGAGCAACAGATGTGGTGGATGAGCAACAGGTGTGGTGGATGAGGAACAGATGTGGTGGATGAACAACAGGTGTGGTGGATAAGCAACAGGTATGGTGGTTGAACAACAGGTGTGGTGGTTGAACAACAGGTGTGGTGGATGAGCAACAGGTGTGGTGGATGAGCAACAGGTGTGGGAAATTAAGCTACTTGTGTAGTGAGAGAGAATGATGAATACGCAGAGATTAATTAAAGTTAACACGGTGACTCACTGTACGTACAAGGATCACCAGACCTTAGGTCCTCACGCCACATGTGAGATATTGTCCGTTTTCTCGTTTCTTTTATTTTCTTGTTTCTCCTGTGTGGAGGAGAATGGAAGTGTGGAGGAGAATGGAAGTGTGGAGGAGGAGAGATGTGTGGGGGAGGAGAGACGTGTATAGGAAAAAGGAAGTGTGGAGGAGAAAGGATGGATAGTTGGATGGGAGGAATGTATGGAGAAGAGTGGAGGAGGAGAGGTGTGTGGAGGAGGAGAAAGGATCTATGAGCGTTTGGAGTAAAATTTTGGTCTCCTGGTAAATCTCATCTGAACTTCTTTCAGGAAAAGGACAAATTGAATTATTGTCGCTAACAACAAGTGAATTTCATTACCATACCATTTACGTCGGAAGCTATAATATAAACGCGATGTTTACTAAGGCATGCTGTGGTTCAAGGCACAGCCAGACATGAAGGATATAGAAGTCACGACAGATAGTCGTGGGGGAAAAGGTTGGAAAAGAAGTTTAATGAGTTAAAAAGAGGGGGACGACACCCCTTGTTTTACATAGTACAGACTATAGGATTTAGGATGAGGTTGCACAATTTTTACTTTGGTAGACAATGACTAATTTGATTTTACAATTACATGTTTATTAAAATATTATACTGTATTACGTTATGGACTCAGTAGATTATGACTTGTTAAATGTGAACTTATATCATCTAAGTTTTAATCTAAGGTGGATCGTTGTGGCGGACATAGATGGGTCGCGGGCTTTGGTTGTTGTAGTGCGGGCAGACTCCGGGGCCACCAGGTGTGGGGTCGCCCTGCGTAGGTGGTCTGGGCTGTGAGGGTCGTCCAGGAGCTTGTCCCAAACCTTCTTCCCAAGGCTATGGAACCTGACGTTGAGGGCCTCTGTTTTATTTCTCAGGTGGATGGTTTCCACTGTCTCCAGGTAGGGTGGCGCTTGACCACAGGCTAACCTCAGACACTTGTTTTGGAAGCTCTGTAGTTGTTGTAGTCTGGTCTTCCCGAGTGTGACGAGTGGTACGTGTGGGTACTCCAACACGGGTCTCACCAGCGCCTTATACAGGTGGATTTGTATCTTCTCAGGCATCAGTTTAAAACGTTTTAATTTGGCGGCGGCGACTTTGGCTTTCTTTAGTCTGTCCTTCACGTGAGAAATGACGCCAGTCCGAGAGATGATGAGGCCGAGCAACCTGCCTTGTTTAGAGTACTCAATCTCTTCGTCGTCGATCATCAATAACGCCGTTTTGTTTGTTTTTATTTTCAATTTATTTTCATCTCCGACATATCTTTTATTGCCCGAGCGGTGAGTCGCACCATCCTTGCCGTGTACTCTCCTGGGCAGGTGACGATCTGTGTTACGTCGTCGGCATACATGACGTACTCGCTGCCGACGACTGGGGATGGCAGGTCAGCCGTGTAAAGCATGTATGGGGTTGGCAAGAGACAACAGCCCTGAGGCACGCCGCTCTTGAGTGAGAATTCTTCTCTTGATTTTGGCTCTACGATCCGTAATGAAGTTGCACAGCAGGCGCGTCAGGTTTTCGGGTAGCCCCAGTTGTATGATCTTATACTGCAGCCCCGCGTGCCAAACTTTGCCAAACGCCTTGCTGACGTCCCTCAGTACTACGTTGCACTGCAGGCGGCCAGTCATGGCGTTGGTGATCTGCTCGTAGGCCTGGGCTATGACGGTGGATGTGCCTAGGTTCTGGCGGAGGCCGAACTGGCGGGGGTTATGCACGTTTTCGTCCTCTAGATAAATCCGCAACCGCTTGTTTACTATTTACGAGGATTTTGGCAGGTGCCTCTAGCAGTGATATTGGTCGAAAGTTTTCAACCTTGTTTGAAGCCTTCCCTGCTTTTGGCGTGAGGCGGACAACGGCGATTTTGAACAACTTAGAGAAATCCAGAGGCAAGGCAGGCATTGCATATATGAGCAAGCCTGTAGATACGTTTACTTTCACTGTTACGTATTTTTCATCAAGTAACATTTTCTTGTCACTTTTGGTGGGTACGGTAACGTAAAGTGTTCACTAATAACACAGCCAGATGTTTGATCACGCCTACCGTCATCATTTGTTCTTCCTTGTAAGCATTACAAGTATAAAGAATCGCTCTAATTTACACCACGACACGTTTTGTGTAATGATCACAACTTTTAGCAGTGATAATGTCGCTATTATAGCAATGTCGGCATGTCTTTAAATGATGCACACAACTTTGGACACGATGGCTCGTAAGAAGATATCATGAATATCCTGTAGACAAATTGTAAATATTAGCTAAGATTTTCGTTGGCAACTTCGTATAATTCTCTTTGAATATTTTGATTATTATTTCGTTTTCAGTGGTGGGATGCTTCAGGTGTGCGGTTGATGTGGCTGCGGGAGAGTTTCCTGGTAAAGCTGGACAAATACATTACCTTCATCGACGGCTACCTCCTCCGCCTACAGGATATCTTCGCTCCCTTCTTCACAATTCTTATTACCCCCATCAGAATTATATATGAATATCTAAATGTGAATCCAAAGGTAAGTCACGCTGACCATGTTTTAAGAAGTATTTTGAAGTGTGTCGACGGCATTCAAACTTTTCTAGGGGTGATAGTTTGGGATTTCATGAATGCTTGAACAGTGTAATAAACTGACATCATTATTAATCGTGTATGAACAAAGTCGAAGTTGTTCCGATACGCTACAGCGTTTTAGAGACAGCCCTGATAATTGAGTTGTTTTGAAAAATTATCATATACTGTAAATCCCAGATTAAATCAACTCATAATTTTTCGTTGATGAAAGATTGTCTGGTTTAGATATGTAGATGATGTAATATGTCTTTGGCCATGTAATGCGGACCTAAAAGCTTTGCTACCACAACTTAACAACTTAGCCCCCTCGATCAAATTCACTGTGGAATTAGAGAATGACTGCAAATTACCATTCCTAGACTGTCTGATCCACAGAATAGGTAACACCTTTAAGTTCAGTATTTAAAGGTAACCTACTAATGTGTGTTCATACATTCATTATTATTCTGTCCACCATAATAGAGTCAAACAGTCCGGAATTCATTGATGCGGAATATAAATATATCTATAATATTGGCTTGAACCTGAAGTACCCTAGATCTTTTACAGACAAATGCATTTACATTACTAAGAAATCTTTTTATAGAACTGATTCCAAGCCCACCCATGACAATAAGAATCTCTTAGTATTACCATTTAACAAAAATTTATCTCAAATTCCTATACAACTGAAAACCTGGAACGTTAATGTGGCATTTAAAAACTCATGCACTGTTAAACAAACGTTAATCAAGAACTCCCCCAACAATGCCGGCGGCTGCATTTACAAGGTTCCCTGCAAGGAATGTAATATGTTCTACTTAGGTCAGACGGGTAAAGATCTTATAACTAGACTTAAACAGCATAAATATAGTGGGACAGTATATATAGACATTATAGAATCCAGTCTCTTAAACATACCGAATCTGTCAACATGAATTTGAGTAATGGTATGCAAACTGGATAATTTTGTGATTAAGAAGATTTGTAACCAGGTGAAAGTTGGGTCATCTTACCCTATGACCTGACTACGGACAGCTGCTGTGCTAAGAGTCAATTTCTTTGATTAAGAAGATTACTAAAGGTCACTGCCTTATGACCGAAACATTGGACACCTGCTGTCCCCTAGGACTTGATCTCACTCTCTCTACTCTATATATTAGCCTTCTCAAGTATTTCTCCTTAGCCTGTACTTACCCCTGAAGATGTGAATTACACAGCGCTTGGGAACTTCGTGTTTACTTGTTCCTTGTGGTTATCAGCATATACTTGGATCACGCCCTACAGTGATTTACTTGCATATATATATATATATATATATATATATATATATATATATATATATATATATATATATATATATATATATATATATATATATATATATATATATATATTTCCTCTTGAGCAGAGCACAAGTCGTCCTCTGGTTAGTGGGAAGGCAGACAGCTTAAGGCAAGGGATGGCAATGGAGGGCGAGAAGTACGGTGACGAGGAGTACGAGGACTGGGGCGAGGACTACCTCTCAGATGCCTCTACGGACTCGAAGCGCTTGCTAAAGAACGACCCCCAGGGTAAGTCTGAGTGACTGATACATAAGTTTATTAATAAGTACTTTTCTTCTTAACTATTTCAAGTCCTGTTGTACTTCTTTTGGTCTAATTGTTTAATGTTTTCCCATTAGCGAAGTTATTAAATGCAATTCGATGTCCCGTAATTGCAATTTGGCTTGGGAGTCATGAGTTATGAGGTGAAATAAGATTATTAGGGGTTGAAGAAAAAGTGGTGAAACTGAAATACAGTAGGAGTAGAAAGAATCTGGGCTCAACCAGATCGCTTCATCTTTCCTATTGGTGTTTTATCTTTGTTCTGCTCCCTTGGGTCGTCAGACCTTTGTATTAATATTGGTTTATTTATATAGTGCTGCTTATTATACATTTTTTTTTTATTGCGATGGAGTTAGTGAGCCCGCCCAGGTCCTTTTCTCTGACTCGAACCCCTATGTAGTCATAAACCATCAGCAGCTGTGACAGCGACACAATTTGAACTAGGATAATGAGGCCACGCTCACACCACTCACACACACATACAGTACAACGAACTAAAAAACATTTCAGAGTTTCTACATTATTATATCGTGGTACAGAAATTATATAACAGGAAAAATCATGAGTGAACAATGCGGTCACGTAGAGCCAGCTTACAAGAAGTAATAAATGAAAGAAGAAGAAAGATTAACACTTGCAGCTGCACCAGCGTTACAAAGCAATTAAATTTACCTTTGTGAACTAATATCCCAGATTCACAACTTCTACAATAACTGTTTACTACACTCAACCCGTAACTTGTATTATTTTAATTTGGCCCAACACCAGTGTACGGAAAATTATTCTCTCCCAAACCATGGCACTCGCCACCATCACCGGGAATATAGCGTCTGGTTTTCTTCCCACCATCTCTCTCAGAATACTTCGTTTATAGTACAACAAATTATATATTTCTGAAGTAAAAAACCAGAACATTTCTATTTAATATGTCCCGCCATAAGGACATTAAGGCGACACTGATTAATATAAAGGGTCATCGAGCAATGAAGTAAGATCAGTCGACAACGTTGAAGTAGTGTGGCGTGCAAAAATTTTTTGATGGTGGTTGAGCTGCCCGAAGTGTCACAAATATTTCCCACAGAGAAAGATGTCAGTTGTTTTCAGACTTCTGCAGGTCTCACAGCTTCGTTCATCCCTAACTCATAGTGTTTGTTTATTGCTGCAACTGTCGCAAACATTTTAGTAAATGTGAACAGTCACCTGTGCCCTACAAAAAAAGTAGGAAAATTAATAATCATTATCTCATGGCTTTCGACTATGTTAGGTTATCAATCACTCCCGGGTGGTACCACAGGATTCACCATTATTCGGTATCTATTGGCATGTTATAACTCACGGGCGGCGCCACCCTTAAGACACATTATAAGAACCTGAAACACGTGTACTGTTACAGCTACTCCACTAGGGTGTGTACTGTTACAGCTACTCCACTAGGGTGTGTACTGTTACAGCTACTCCACTAGGGTGTGTACTGTTACAGCTACTCCACTAGGGTGTGTACTGTTACAGCTACTCCCTAGGGTGGTGCTGTGTACTGTTACAGCTACTCCACTCCCACTGGGGTGTGTGTGCTTCTCCACTAGGGTGTGTACTGTTAGCTTACAGCTACTACTCCACTAGCCTTCTCACTAGGGTGTGTACTGTTACAGCTACTCCACTCCACTGAGGTGTGTACTGTTACAGCTACTCCACCATTGTGTGCAGTAGCTGCTCCACTAGGGTGTGTACTGTTACAGCTAGCATTCAGCTACTACTGGGGTGGTACTGTGTACTGTTACAGCTTACTCCACTGGGGTGTGTACTGTTACAGCTACTCCACCAGGGTGTGTACTGTTACAGCTACTCCCACTAGGGTGTGTACTGTTACAGCTATTCCACTGGGGTGTGCTGGTGCTACTCCACTAGGGGTGTGTGCCACTGTTACAGCTACTCCCACTAGGGTGTGTACTGTTACAGCTTCTCCACTAGGGTGTGTGCTGTTGCAACACTCCACTAGGGTGTGCTGGTACAGCTACTCCCACTAGGGTGTGTACTGCAGCTACTCCACTGAGGTGTACTGTTACAGTTACTCCACTAGGGTGTGTTACAGCTACTCCACCAGCTACTGCACTAGTTGCAGCTACCCACTCAGAGTGTACTGTTACAGCTGCCTCCACTAGAGTGTCCACCAGGGTGTACTGTTACAGCTACTCCACTAGGGTGTGTACTGTTACAGCTACTCCACTAGGGTGTGTACTGTTACAGCTACTCCACTAGGGTGTGTACTGTTACAGCTACTCCACTAGGGTGTGTACTGTTACAGCTACTCCACTAGGGTGTGTACTGTTACAGCTACTCCACTAGGGTGTGTACTGTTACAGCTACTCCACTAGGGTGTGTACTGTTACAGCTACTCCACTAGGGTGTGTACTGTTACAGCCATCTAATACCTACATAGGTGTGTACTGTTACAGCTACCACTAGGTGTACTGTTACAGCTACTCCACTGTGGGTGTGTACTGTTACAGCTACTCCACTAGGGTGCGTATCATTACAGCTACTCCACTAGGTGTGTACTGTTACAGCTACTAACTAGGGTGTGTATGGAAGTTACAGCTACTCCACCAGTGTGTACTGCACACAGCTACTCCACCAGAGTGTGCACTATTACAGCTACTCCACTAGGGTGTGCACCACTGTTACAGCCATCTACTAGGGTGTGTACTGTTACAGCTACTCCACTGGGGTGTGTGTGTACTGTTACAGCTACCTCCATTAGGGTGTGTACTGCCACAGCTACTCCAAATTAGGTGTGTACTGTTACAGCTACTCCACTAGGGTGTGTACTGTTACAGCTACTCCACTAGGGTGTGTACTGTTACAGCTACTCCACTAGGGTGTGTACTGTTACAGCTACTCCACTAGGGTGTGTACTGTTACAGCTACTCCACTAGGGTGTGTACTGTTACAGCTACTCCACTAGGGTGTGTACTGTTACAGCTACTCCACTAGAGTGTGTACTGTTACAGCTACTCCACTAGGGTGTGTACTGTTACAGCTACTCCACTAGGGTGTGTACTGTTACAGCTTCCCACCAGGGTGTGTACTGTTACAGCTACTCCACTAGGGTGTGTACTGTTACAGCTATTCCACTAGGGTGTGTACTGTTACAGCTACTCCACTAGGGTGTGTACTGTTACAGCTACCCACTAGGTGTGTACTGTTACAGCTACTTCACTAGGGTGTGTACTGTTACAGCTACTCCAATTAGGGTGTACTGTTGCCATCTACTCAGGGTGTGTACTGTTACAGCTACTCCACTAGGTGTACTGTTACAGCTACTCCACTAGGTGTGTCGTACTGTTACAGTCTCTCCACTAGGTGTGTACTGTTACAGCTACTCCACTAGGTGTACTGTTGTTCACTATGTTGCACATACTCCACTAGGGTGTGTACTGTTACAGCTACTCCACTAGTGTACTGTTACAGCACACTAGGGTGTGTACTGTTGCTACTCACTAGGTGTGTACTGTTACAGCATTCCACTAGGGTGTGTACTGTTACAGCTACTCCAATAGGGTGTGTACTGTTACAGCTACTCCAATTAGGTGTGTACTGTACGTACTTCTCCACTAGGGTGTGTACTGTTACAGCTACTCCACTAGGGTGTGTACTGTTACAGCTACTCCAACTAGGGTGTGTACTGTTACAGCTACTTAATTATGGTGTACTGTTACAGCTATCTAACTAGGGTGTGTACTGTTACAGCTACTCACTAGGGTGTGTACTGTTACAGCTACTCCACTAGGGTGTACTGTTACAGCTACTCCACTGAGGGTGTGTACTGTTAGCTACTCCACTAGTGTACTGTTACAGCTACTCCACTAGGGTGTGTACTGTTGCTGCTATTCCACTAGGGTGTGTACTGTTACAGCTATCTACTAGTGTGTACTGTTACAGCTACTCCACTAGGGTGTGTACTGTTACAGCTACTCCATAGGTGTGTACTGTTCAGCTACCACTGTTAGGGTGTACTGTTACCTTAGGTGTGTACTGTTGCTATCACTAGGTGTACTGTTACAGCTACTCCAATTAGGGTGTGTGTACTGTTACAGCTACTCCACTAGGGGTGTGTACTGTCAGCACTTCACTAGGGTGTACTGTTGTTACTCCACTAGGGTGCGTACTGTTACAGCTACTCCACTAGGTGTGTACTGTTACAGCTACTCCACTAGGGTGTGTACTGTTACAGCTACTCCACTAGGGGTGTACTGTTACATACCCACTAGGGTGTACTGTTACAGCTATCTACCTGGTGTGTACTGTTACAGCTACTCCACTAGGGTGTGTACTGTTACAGCTACTCCACTAGGGTGTGTACTGTTACAGCTACTCCACTAGGGTGTGTACTGTTACAGCTACTTCCCTCTTCCCTGTTAGTTACGTGGCGAGGAACTGTAGATGCAAAACACCAATTAATCTCGCCATGAACTATTAAAATATTGACATTATACCGGAATAACTTCCTTGGAATCTTAACAGGGAAGTTTTACTTATTTTCTTAGATGTGAATCACCTCCAGATCACCGTTGGTAACTGTAGAGACAACCGTCTTTAATTTTGTTTAGGTAATATCGGAGTTCTGAACAAGAAGTTGAGACCCTTCACTTAGCTAAGCCTCTAACAGTTGCTTTTTCAAACCTTTGCATTAAGTGCTTTTGGTAACCATCATTAACCCACTAATACCCCCCACCTACTAACGCCCACACCTACTAACTCCACACCTACTAACTCCCACACCTACTAACTCCCACACCTACTAACTCCCACACCTACTAACTCACACCTACTAACCTCCCACCTAAACTCCCAACCTACTAACCCCCCCACCTATTAACTACCCCACCTACTAACTCCACACCTACTAACTCCCACACCTACTAACCCCACACCTACTAACCCCCACACCTACTAACTCCCCACACCCACACCCCCACCTACTAACCCCACACCTACTAACTACCCCACCTACTAACTCCCCACCTACACCCCACACCTACTAACTCCCACACCTACTAACTCCACACCTACTAACTCCCATCTACTAACTCCCACACCTACAACTCCACACCCACAACTCCCACACCTACTAACTCACACCTACTAACTCCCCACATACTAACTCTCCACCTACTAACCCCACACCTACAACCTCCCCACACCCACTAACTCCCCATCTACTAACTCCCACACCTGCTAACTCCCACACCTACCAACTCCACATCTACTAACCCCACATCTGCTAACTCCACACCTACTAACCTGACACCTACTAACTCCACACACACCTACTAACTCCCACACCTACTAACTCCACACCCACTAACTCCCACACCTACTAACTCCACACCTCCCATAACTCCCACACCTACTAACTCCCACACCTACTAACTCCCCACACCTACTAACCCCACACCTACTAATCCCACACCCCACTAACTACCCCACCTACTAATCCCCACCTACTAACCCCACACCTACTAACCCCACACATACTAATCCTCACACCTACTAACTCCCACACCAACTCCAACACCTACAAACTCCCACACCTACAATCCCCATCTACCAATCCCACACCCACTAACTCCCACACCTACTAACTCCCCACATTACTAACCCACAGCTGCTAACTCCCCATCTACTAACTCCCACACCTACTAACCCCACACCTACTAACTCCCACATTACTACCCCCACATCTAACCCCACACCTACTAACTCCCACACCTTAACTCCCACACCTACTAACTCCCACACCTACTATCCACCCCACCCACTAACTCCCACACCTACTAACTCCCACACCTACTAACTCCCACACCTACTAACTCCTACACCACTAACTCCCACACCTACTAACTCCCACATCCCACTAACCCCATACCTACTAACCCCACACCTACTAACTCCCCCATCTACTAACCCCCACACCTACACCCCACACACCCAATCCCCACATCTACTAACCCCACATCTGCAACCCCACACCTACTAACCCCACACCTACTAACTCCCACACCTCTACTCTCACACCTCCTAACCCCACATCTAATATCCCCACACCTACTCCAACCCCACACCCCACACACCTCCCAACTCTCACACCTCCTAACTCCCACATCTAATAACTCCCACATCTACTAACTCCCACACCTACTAACTCCCACACCTACTAACTCCCACACCTACTAACTCCCACACCTACACCCACACCTACTAACTCCCACACCTACTAACTCCCACCCACTTACACACCCACATAAACGCCATATCTCCACATCTGTCACCTGCGGGAGACAAAACCCTCCATCCTGCTTCCTAATATCACTTGGAACTTGGCCCTTCACCAGGACAGTCCTATAATCGTCTTCGGACTACAGTCACGGCTGAAGGAAAGCTGCGGGCTGCCATGTACCACCGAGTGAAGAAAGAACTGGGTCTAATGAGGAAGAACTCCATTAGGTTTTCCTGCGGCATTGTGAGTTGGTCGGGGAATAGAGTAAGGCTGCGGGTCCGTGGCCCCTCCAGCATGATACGTCATGATGGACTTTAGTTTTTAGATGTTGAGTGTACAGTATGTGGTTGGACTGAGTGAGAGAAAGAGACACAGACAGAGAGAGAACAAGAGAGAGACAGACAGACAGAGAGAGCAAGAGAGCGAGAGAAAACAGATGTTTTAAGTGTTGGTGCTTTCAGTATTATGCTGTGTTACGATAGTTTGTGCGGTAATTTTGATGTCTTAATTGTTTGTAATATTGTTCTATCGTCATTCTACATAACAATTATAATTTTACTGTATGTTAAATTTTGTAGGTCTGTCTACTGAGTGGCAGTGGTGACAACTATATAAAACTAATATTATAACTAGATTTAAACATCAGTGGTTATAAAATAAAGTTAGTTCAGTGTAAATCATTCCATCCACGAATTAATTATATTTTATTTAAATTTGCAGTATAATTTCAACACCTCAGGTTACTAGCTGTTCAGGTGGTTGGTCTGTTCTTTGTTAGTACAGGATTATGTCTGTTTCATCACACGTCCTCCTTGCCTTTACACAACGCTTTACTGTCCTGCTAGCCAGTGTGGTGGTGAGTGTGAAGCTGTGGTATCACTTCATCAACAGCTGTGACAGGCTTTTTCGAAATTAATTTCATCTTCGGTCATTGTGTATCACTTTATGACCTTAGGACGTGTTACTGTGTATTTATAAACTAAATCTATTTGTTATTTATTGTGAGTGTTGATAGCATCATCACCGTCCTTGTAACTCAATTGTCCTTCAATCAGCGTATTGTTCTAGCGCACTGGTTCCCAAACGGGGGTGTGGGGGAGGCCATGAGAAAAACATATATATTGACATTGTTTTTACTTCATTAAGAATTTTTCAATATAAATTTTTCAGTATAAAATAATTACGAGTTACTTCATTTTGAAAGTAACAAATACGAGTATAAGGCGTAAAATTTATTAAAATTTATTCAATTGATGTTTAGAAAATGAGGAGGGGGCGTGAGTGTTTGGTAAAATGCAAAAGAGGGCGTCATGTGAAAAAGTTTGGGAACCACTGAGTAACAGTATATAGCATATTGTTCTGTACCTGTGTTTGTTATGCTTACTGGGATTAAATGTTAATATACACCTGTGTTTTGTTACGTGACATTTAAGCTATTGCATCGCACCAGTAGTTGTGTTGTGTGCAAAAACCTGGCCTGCCCTCACCATCACTTCTACCACAGGTAAATTACGCCAGACAAATGATGGAACCGCGAATGCGTCCGTACGCAGAATCTTTCCAGGTCTCCTGTCAAAAGTGGGCAAGGGTAAGTATTATTCTTAACTTCAGAGCAAAACTATATCTGTTGATGAAAACAAGACTCTTGCATAGGGAATGCTGAATCATAGACACAAACAATTTAACATCTTGTGAGATGTACAGTATCTATTGCAAAGTTTTTACCTTTGCCACTACTAAGCAACTCTTATTAACAATAATAATTTTCATTATAACTTTACTAATACAAGTTACACTACATATGTAGTGATTAAATTTTAGTGTAAAAAATCTCTTGTTCCTCAGGAGTACGAGATAACGGATATGACGGCTCCTCTCCAGGAGGAATGGAACAGCGACAAACGCTTCCTCGCGAAGGCTCTAGCTCTCGCTCGGGCTCTCTGCGTCGTCTACCTCGCTGTTAGTACCACCCTTCTTAACCACGAGGCCCACAGTACTTTGTTCCATATTCACCCATTCAATGTCTCTAGCCTTCTGTCCTCTGAGTTCTCATCTTCTGGGTCCTGTACTACGTCCTTCTATGTTTTGTCATCCTCCAGAGAGTACTGTACCTATTCATTTCTTATTGATTATTCCTGGATTTTTTCTTTATATTGTTCCAAACCATATTGCACTCGCTACTGTTACTGGTCATTCGTCAATTTCTCTTGAATTATGTTCTTCTACATTGAACCCTTCAGAACTCCTGCTGGAAAATCTACAATACAGTATTAGGTTTCTTTTTTATTGGTTTGGTCTGTATCAAGTCTTCTTTTTTTTTTTTTTTTACGGGGATTAGCCCACCCGGCACAGGTCACTGACCCACATCAGTGCCATGGGGGCGAAAATATAATAATAATAATAATAATAATAATAATAATAATAATAATAATAATAATAATAATAATAATAATAATAATAATAATAATAATAATAATAATAATAATAATAATAATAATAATAATAATAATAATAATAATAATAATAATAATAATAATAATAATAATAATAATAATAATAATAATAATAATAATAATAATAATAATAATAATAATAATAATTATAATAATAATAATAATATCAATTATTATTATTATTATTACAACAATTAATAAAATTAATAGCTAATTAATACAAATAAATAATAATAATAATAATAATAATAATAACCATAAATAAATACAAAAACGGAAAAATAAATCAAGAGTGAGAAATGATAAACATTATGTAGGAATTCAAGTCAATAATTTTCCTAATATTGGGTCTTTATGCACTTATTTCTGCTATATTGAGTTAATTTGTGGTTGGTCTTCATTTTAGATCCTCTTGACTCCTTTATGTAATTTTATTGAGCCCTACAATAATAAATTCTCCTTTAAGAGGGTTCTGGTCCTTCTCCGTTCATTCCGAGATTGAGTCCTTATGTATCTTAATTTTATTTAGTTAGTTAAGTCCCATCTGAAGAGTTCCAGGTTGGGACCCTTCTGATGCGTCTATATTGTTGCCATCCCTGTTTGTCCTTTCACGCTAGATCATGTCACGCGTCTCCCTCTCGAGGGCCTTCAGTCAGGTAGTCTTCGGTCGTCCACGTGGTCTCTGCCCCTCCACTCTCTCAAACATTATCTTCCGTGGTAATCTGTTCTCTCCCATCTTTTCCGTAGGTCCACACCATCTTAATTGTGAGTCTCTCACTTTGTCCAATATTGTTATCCGTAAGCCTGATAATTCTCTCACGAAGTCGTTTGTTCGCTTATGGAACCAACGGATCGTGCAGATTCCCCTCGAACAATTTGATTTACTGTCTTCTATACATACTGCTTCCACCTGTTCATCACTGCTTCTTAACATCTTAATTATTATTGTCTCTGCATACTTTTCTTGGTTCCTCCACTAGGCCCAGACCTTGGACAGTTCCTTTCAGGATTCTTTAAGGCATTCTATATTTTTCTATCCTCGCCAATAGCCCGCCCAAGAGCATTTGACAATACACAATCACACCTACGATCATCTGAAGTTATGTCAGTTTTCTGATTTAATCGTCGTTCCTCTGTCACCAGTCATTAGTGTTGCATTAATAGATACAAGCAGCTGTTATATCTTAGTCAGGATTCAGTCTAGCCCTTATACCGTGGGTCTTACTACTGTGTTGTATATTATTAAATAGTGCATGCCTTCTAACGCTTCCTTCATTTCAAGAGTATATGGTACAGTAGTAGTGTTGTGTCGTCTGTATTTGTTCTCTTGTGAGTCTAATGTCAGCCTCTTGTCTCCTATAGTTTTTGCTTCGTCTGGTGAAAGGAAAGAAGAATCGCCGTACTCGATCGATGCGTTCGGAAAGTCTTCGCCGACGAGCTCAAAATATGACCTGCAACAACAGTTCGCACCCACTAAGCCCCTCAGCCCTGCAGCAGTCATCCGAGCCAACGCCATCTCCCCCCCTGGAAGTCCCGGCGAGTCTCCAGGAGCCAGCCCTGAGAGAAGAAGAAGAGGATTTGGACGATTCTCCCTCAAAAAACAACGCTCTGGCAAATAAGAAGACCCCTGCTTACAACGCAGACAGTGACCGCACAATCTCTCCCATTGAAGAAGAGTTGTCAGATGTAGACGTGACAAACAAAAAAGAGAATGATCATGACGCCAGTGAAGGTTCAATTACCTCTTTTGACGAAAGTAGCAAAGACAGCGGTTTTTCGGACAAGAAGAGTGAAGATGAAGATCCTGTGTTGGTGAAACAACCAAAGAAAGGAGTGACTATCATGACCCCGACCTCGCCAGGACAAACCAAGAATAAAAATAAAAAAATTGGCGACAAGAAACTTTTTTCCAGGCAGTAAATGCGACTGATGATGGTTAGGGTGACCGCTTTAATAACCGTATACAATATATTTATTTGCTAGATTATCATAATATAAACCTTATAAAATAATAGATTTTTTTTTCTCAACTTTAGAGATTGTTTTATTAATGTGGTTTTTTTCATGATAAAGAAAAGTGTTCTGATCATGAACTATGTAACATATCACGTACGTCTGCGTGCGTCAATCTTGGATTACCAGATCTTGCTTAAGTCGGTCATATAAAGCTCAACAAAAGGATGTATATACAATGATAACAACTCAGCCTTCAGACGAGTATAAATATATATGAATTAGTACGGTGGTGTGGCTGACTCAAGAGTGATGGCCATCCAACACTGGCCGGGCGTGGAGTACTTACTGAGTGGTGCTGCTGCTGCTTAAATGTACAAAATAAAATTGGTACCTAAGCTCACAACCGCGAGCTGCATGATGTGCTGATTATTTTTTTCTGGTTAGCTTGTGCTTACCATCTTATATCTGATGTATAGGATGTATGGTTTTATAGTACTCGCTCTCTATATTGGCTCATATTTTAGGTGAGTCATACATTGTTTACGATAGCATCTTGTAAATACTTAAACCTTAAGATATTAGATATTTATACATATGTTTTGTGAGAGTTTCAGGCGTCTTAGTTTGTTAATAATATTCGATATTAAAGTTCTTGCTGTTAACACCAGGCGACGAGCTCTTGGACAACATTCACACATGAGCTTCTCATTGAATTATTAATATTACAACTTTACATTTTGTTTCGTTTTCTAAATTATGAACAAATATTTTAATCAAAGAATAGCCATGTCTCGTACATAGCATTTTCATAGCAAAAATTGGGTCACACTCCCGCTCTGAATGTCATAACTCAGTGTTGAATGTCGGGAACTTCATTTTAAGCTCCAACCAATTTGAGATTTCCTTTTTGTATCAATGTTAAATATTGATATTGTTATAAAGAGAATGTGTCGGGGTCATCCTGTTTTTTGCGGGTCCATTTGAAACTGTGAAGGAATATTTGTGCGTCTTGTCTTGTTACTGCGTGTCTCTTCCATGTCTACCTGGATGGTCGACGTTGGCCCAGCGTCTCAAAAATCATTGGAAACTGAGTCGTAATAAATTCCTTACTAACCTCCGCGGCTATTAGGGTTACGTCTCAGTTTGCTGAGAATGCCTCAGTGTAAGTTCAACACCTTTGCCACTGACAGATCCCGCCTGTATATTCCTCTATAAAGAGCAGAAGAGTTGGAGTTAATAGTCTGGTTACATGTTACTGACGTTATTATACGTCATTTTAATGTTAGTTTTATTGATAACAATTCAAGGTCACCCACTATATTTATCTTTAGTATTGATATTGCCGTCTTTATTATTATCTTATTCTCCTCCTCATTCATGCCAGCTTATTTACATTTCAGGTCATATTTGCAATATTTACTTTATTTGCTATATTGTGTCTTGCCCCACTAAGTGTTTCAGTTTACAGTACAGATTGATGTGTAAAACATGCATTTTTCCAGGAATGTCCTCAATGTGTAATATTATACTTGTTTTTATACTTAAGATTAATTTACACTATAAAAGACAATGATTAAATCTAGTTTCTTATTTATTCATTCAGTACACAGTAAGAACTTGAGAGCAGCAGTTGTCAGGTTGTCTTCAGTTATTTATTAATAAATATCTATTTACTAATTTTGGAATAAAACAATTTTGATCTTTTATTAAACACCGCGATGTTCTTAACGTATAGGTGGTCGTCCACAGCCTTAAATAATAGGTGGTCGTCCACAGCCTTAAATTATAGGTGGTCGTCCACAGCCTTAAATTATAGGTGGTCGTCCACAGCCTTAAATTATAGGTGGTCGTCCACAGCCTTAAATTATAGGTGATCGTCCACAGCCTTAAATTATAGGTGATCGTCCACAGCCTTAAATTATAGGTGGTCGTCCACAGCCTTAAATTATAGGTGGTCGTCCACAGCCTTAAATTATAGGTGATCGTCCACAGCCTTAAATTATAGGTGGTCGTCCACAGCCTTAAATTATAGGTGGTCGTCCACAGCCTTAAATTATAAGTGGTCGTCCACAAAATTAAATTATAGGTGGTCGTCCACTGTCTGTTAATGCCGTGGTGGTCGTCCACTGTCTGTTAACGCTGTGGTGGTCGTCCACTGTCTGGTAACGCTGTGGTGGTCGTCCACTGTCTGTTAACGCTGTGGTGGTCGTCCACTGTCTGTTAACGCTGTGGTGGTCGTCCACTGTCTGTTAACACTGTGGTGGTCGTCCACTGTCTGATATAGCTGAAGTGGCCCTTTAACCGTTGATTCTTGTTGGGTTAATGGGGCTGGAACATGTAAAAGTATGGAGGGTTTTTAGTAGCGAAAATCCAACTGTCATTTCTGTATTTATTAAAAAAAGATATTATATACAGTCCCAAGTGTATATCACCGTAACTTAATCACTGTAGCTATGAGTGATAAATGAGGACAGAGGCTATCTTATATAGCTCTGCTAAGTACTTCCTGTCGATGATGAGATAGTCGAGTGAGAATGAGTAGGAACCCATCGAGAGAGCCAGCCAGCATTATGTTAGTGCTAAGGTGCAGGCACTGCCTGCTTGCTCTCGTTTTAAGCTACCGCCGCTGGCTAGCCCTGGTGGTGAACAAGGAAGCAGTCTTGCATAAGTCTTCCTCTGCCAGTACACAGCCTCCTCACCATCAAGATTCCTGCTGTGCCTCTTCGTGGCAACACACGGTAACTGGGTGTACCTCGCGGCCCAAGACTAAACCAACAGGGGATCTCGGAGGAGCAGTGGGCCCAGAGGGCTAGCACATATGCCCATCGGCATTTGGACACGTCCTGGCGCCTACCAACCATTGACCTTGCGGATTAACCTTGGTAGGTATATAAGGCTACAGGACTTAACCTCGAACGAAAAATCTGCTGTGGAGCTCCACATCAGGCAGGCATGCTTACAGAGCTCCAGTATAACCCCAACGACGGTGTAGGTGAAAGAGGTGACCACCGTGGGAACCCAACGACTACACCGGCTGATGAAATTAATGCAAGATGGAAAGGCTACTAAGGCGAAACCGAACAAACTGGGCTATCGGCAGTCCATTGCAAATCTCCCTCTCCGCAGTTGTTGCAACTACTTGCACCACTGGATCAGGAAAGGGTAGAGCCAAGATGTGTGGTTGCAGCTTGCGCTCCTCCCTCACCACAGACATCAACTTACGTGCAGCCATCATTCAGCTCATCATACTTATCATCATCATAAAAACCTTTATACCCTCAAAAGTCCTATGGCGACAGGCAAGGGGCGATGGGGACAGGCAGAGATGACTGCCGGGAGTCTCTAGTTACAACTCTGCACATGGACGACAGAGATAAGATGGTCGTTTGTGTACCGGTATTAGGCAGCAGTGCAATCCGATCCTGTCTGTGCGATTGAGCAGTCCTTTCCAGGAGTCACTCTGCTCACCCCACATGGGGAGGAGGCTAGAAAAGGTGCCCTAAACATAGCCTGCCTAAAAATCCAATTCTAATTCGGTCGAAAACATAATCACAGATCAAAGCATATATATATATATATATATATATATATATATATATATATATATATATATATATATATATATATATATATATATATATATATATATATATATATATATATATATATATATTACAAAGGTACTCGAACTATCCAACCGGGAGCGAACTCGTTCCAATGGTTTTAAATTAGACAAATTTAGATTTAGGCGCGAAATAGGTAAATATTGCTTTAGAAATAGAGTATTGGACGAGTGGAGCAAGTTACCAAATATCATCATTAACTCGAATAAGTTGGATATATGAGCAATAGAGGTTGGGTGTAAATGGGACTGCCCAGTATGGGCCAATAGGCCTCCTGCAGTTTCCTCCATTCTTATATATATATATATATATATATATATATATATATATATATATATATATATATATATATATATATATATATATATATATATATATATATATATATATATATATATATGCTGATAACCACAAGGAAAAGAAAAAACACGAAACGGATAATGCCTCCTCAATATTACCTTGTAATTCAATTGATAGTAGGAACATCATAGAATCTAGTCTCATTAAACATACCGAAGCATTCAACATGAATTTGAGTAATGGCATGTACAAACTGGACAATTTTGTAATTAAGAAGATTTGTAACCAGGTGAGAAGGTTGGGTCACCTTACCCTCTGACCTGACTACCGACCGTTGCGGTGCTATTTAAAGATTAGTAGGGTCATTACCTAATACCTGACCATTGTGGACCTGGTCTCACCCTCCTCTGTATATATACACCTTGTTTTGTACTTCTCTTTAGTCTGTACTCACCCCTGAAGATGTGAATTACACGAAAGCGCTTGGGAACTTCGTGTTTTCTTCTTTCCTTGTGGTTATCAGCATATACCTAGATCACGTGCACCTACAGTGATTTACTTGCATATATATATATATATATATATATATATATATATATATATATATATATATATATATATATATATATATATATATATATATATATATATATATAAGAAACAAGAAAACACGAAGTTCCCAATCGCTTTCCTTGTAATTCACATCTTCAGGGGTGAGTACAGACTGAGGAGTAATTATTGACAAGGCTAATATATACAGCAAAGGAGAGTGAGATCATGTTCCTGGGGACAGCAAGTGTCCACCATATTCAGGTCATAAGGTAGTGACCCATCCCTTTCACCTGGTTACAAATCTTCTTAATCATCAAAATTGTCCAATTTGTACATGCCATTACTCAAATTCATGTTGACAGATTCGGTATGTTTAATGAGACCAGATTCAATGCAATGTTTATTATCTCTCATATGAATGAACAGAGCATTGGATTCCTGGCATGTCCTAACACTATATTAATGTTGTTTAAGTCTAGTTATAAGATACCTGCTGTCTCTAGGGATTTGATTTCACTCTCCTTTACAATACTGTATACATTACCCTTGTCAATTATTACTCCTTAATCTGTACCTACCCCTAAAGATGTGAATTACACGAAAGCGCTTAGTAATGGCGTGGACACTTGCTGTCTTTAGGGACTTGATCTCACTCTCCTTTACTGTATATATTAGCCTTGCCAATAATTACTCCAACTATGATGAAAGTCAGGTTTCCAGAGATCTCTGTGGCTCAATAGGCCTTAGAGAATGGCCTCTGCGTCTCCCACTACCACCTAACAAAACAAATTGAACAGGAAGAATTCTACCCAATAACACCGTGTGGGAACTGCTACGAATACACTCATTTATCGGTAAACTGTCCCCAAAAAGATAAGAAGTTCTGTTCTGAATGCGCAGCAGACGGCCACACATTCAGAGAATGTAGTAACAAAGACAACCCCAAGAGCCTGAACTGCATTGAGGACCACGGAACTGAAAGAAAAAGAAAGGGTAAATAAGAAAATAGAAACGGACCCCAACAAAACTTATGCAGCAATAGCAATTGCAAGACACCACCTCCAAAGACTTAGAGAAAACTAAAGAAAAACCCCTCACACAACCTACATACCTGAAACAGAACGAAGGACTACCATTCACAATACTAGCGACTATTATCCATGCACACATCAACAACGTCACAAAGCCAGGATCCTTCGAAAAACGACCAGGGAAATGTTTGTTGCCAATAATCTCCCAAAGGTGAAATTCCCAGACGATGTCCCTTCAACAGAAACATTCATAATTATTACCGAGAGCAGCTTGGGAATAACTCAGACTCAGGAGCAAACAACCAAACCTGTCTTAGAAGAAAACGCGATGGAAATAGACCCAATCAGCCAACCAATTACACCACACCACAAATTATCAGATAACACAACTCAGCAGACAGAGAAACCACATACCGCCAAAGCTGACCCAACCAAAGGGAAAACAAGAAGAGACATCCCCACTGGCCATCGCCCCCCTCTCCCAATCTTCACCAACCAGAATGCAGGCAGCAGACCTAGGCGAGGAAATCGGCATCCGCTTCTACTCATTCAACACACAACCTACAATGATGTCAAATGATAGACTTGTGCACATAGAAACGTTGATTAGGTGAGGACTAATAAGCACCAAGTACAACAAAATTAAAAGGGTAGCTGTAACTAAATTCAAGAAAATCAGAACGGGACTCAAGGAAGATAGACACAGACACTCGACAGGAGACACACGAGCCAGCAAACAACCTGCACCAAGTTCTCGGGATCCACGACTTTACAAAACAACTCATTAAAGATAATCCAACAATATGTTCTTGCCTGGACTCAGGCGAGAAAAACAGAACTCATAAACATATACAACACAATAGACCCCGACATCATTCTTATCAACGCACACGGACGAAAAGATAACGAAAAATTCTAAATATTTAATTACCACGTATACCAAAGAAGCATCAACAAAGATCTAACTAAAGGGACAGCAATAGCAATTAAATGAACGAGTCAACACAAAATAATTGACAACTTCCAAAGTAACTTCCTGGCATCATCAAGGGACCAATAGCAATAGGAACAT